TTTGATTATGAGAAGGCGCCGCAACGTGGTCGTCTTGAAGGTACTAAAGACTTTACTCACGGCGAAACTTACATTAAATACCATGAAGATGGAAAAGATCAACCATTTGCAGTATAATATTTAATTTTTTTTATTATATTTTGTATGTTAAATTAATAATTATTTTATAATAAATTAATTTTATTATGTTATTTCAAACCGATGTGTAGCAAAATTTTTGCAGGATCTAACGTCATATTATATAACCAAGATTGACAAAATATAGCATGTAGTGTGAAGGTTTTTTAAGTGTTTAGTTTTATCATTTCTTGTATAATATATGTGCAATAAGTAAATCTAATTTTACGAGCTAACTGAAGCTCCGAATATTCTGGTGTTAGTGTATGCTTATACTCGAAGATTTGACCAGAGGTCAGCCAGCCGCTCACACATATCAAGACGATAAGATGAGTTTCAGTTTTTATATGCCATGGTCATATGTATTTCAATACCCAAGAAAAGTAATATTAAACATTGGGAGGATGAGCTGTTATCTTCTACAAGCTAGAATATCTTTAAGGATTAGGATTAAGGATTAGGATTAAGGATTAAGGATTAAGGATCTTCGATTAGTTTCGAGTACCTCGTACACCTTCGAGTAGCTCGAACATCTTCGAGTAGCTCGAACATCTTCGAGTAGCTCGAACATCTTCGAGTAGCTCGAATATCTTCAAGTAGCTCGAATATCTTCGAGTAGCCCGAACATCTTCGAGTAGCTCGAATATCTTCGAGTAGCTCGAATATCTTCGAGTAGCCCGAACATCTTCGAGTAGCTCGAACATCTTCGAGTAGCTCGAACATCTTTGAGTAGCTCGAACATCTTTGAGTAGCTCAAACATCTTCGAGTAGTTCGAACATCTTCGAGTAGTTCGAACATCTACTACTAAATCTGCCTGAGTAACTCGAACTTCAATTTGTCTATTGACAGTGTTATAGTTTGTTATAAATAAAGATACACATATATTCATACTTACGATTAGCTTTCATTATAATAAAAACAAGTTTGTGTATTGATATACTGAAATGTTTTATTTAAATAATTTATTGAAAAAAAAGGAATTTTTAGCAGTGTGTAGGTAATGTAATATGTCTTTATTTTTAATAAAAAGTCGAAGCTTTAATGCTGTGCCTCTAAGTCCTTATATACATTGTTCGATTCAATCACGTATTGTTATAACATTTTGTTTACTTGTTTTTATTTAATAATTTAATTTTTAGTCATTTCTTATTAAATTGCTTGTGCTATTGTTTGCTTAACACTATTCACAATTTCTTACTATTCTAAAATTGTACTGCAGTATAGTATTTGTTCCGTGTGCTTGTTCTTTGCAAATATCCACCTTAAAAAAGGAGTACAGTTAAGATTGATTAAGTTTCAAATAATCCTTCAAATATTTGTAGAAACCTTACCCTTTTTAAGTCAGTGGTTGCACGTAGTGAAATGTCTCTAACAAAGTTTCCTCGACTACGAATATGGACAGATAATATGGAGCTATTATCTTCTCTTTTCAATATTCTTGCACTGTGTTGCTCTAGGTGGGATGGTGAGTTCACATAGTGTTTGCCATCGCGTTTTGTATGCTCATGATTATTACAAATTGTCCAAATTAATGGTGTTTCCGAGCTGATCTTGCAAAGAATCAATTTTATAGTAAAATCAGGAAGTTTTTTTTTATGAAATACTTACGTTAGTTGTAATTCGAGCAAAGGTTCTTTGAAAAATTTTGATAGTGGTAGTTTATATGTTAAATTCAAAGACTTATGTGTGTTTGGACAAAAACTCTCAGAACCCATTGTAATATTAAAAACATTAGCCACAATATAGCTTGAGATATGCCAGCAATTTTCTAAAGATTGGTCTTTAGATTCCACTACTTTACTAAGTTTTATTGGTAAATTACTATTATTGCTGCTGTTTTCTTTGGACTGAATATCAAGATTTTCTATTGAAAGTGCCACGTGGGGTTCCAAAAGAGACTCAATTTCTTCTGTATCTTCAGATGACTGCTCAATTGAAATTTGCTTAGCTAGTGCCTGCGTTGAGTGAGATGATTTTCCGGTTGCTATATCGGTAGAATTTATAACATCAGATGAAAGGTGATCTATTGGTTGTGGTTCAATAAGTTCGCCATTTGGTATATTATCTATCAAATCAATAGCATCTTTAACAATATCTGTCTCTTGTCGTTCATTAATTTTTTCATTTAGATCATGATTGGCTGATTCTCCATGGCTGTGAGCTAAGACTAATGGTGGTAATTGATTTTCATTTTCAAAACAGACAGACTGTAAATATAGATTATAAAAATACTGTATATTATATATAACTAAAGTATCACATAATTATAAAGTATCAATAATTATAAATTATTTTGAACATAATATTTTTTTTGATTACATGTGTGATAAGAGTTCGATCATGTTCGAAGACTATATCGAACTGCATTTACTTGTACTAAAAGTTTAAGTCTTATTTAAACATGTCCTGAAGAACCCAAAAAAGAAGTCCTCCAAGAAGCTTAACATCTTAAAAAACAGTAGAGATTTATAGATTTATGTAGATCTCTATTACTACATAAACTGTTTATTTAAACCTGAACTATTAATTTTACCTGGCAATTAGATACTTCGCCGCTTTGTGTGTTGTGTATGCATTGCGTTGGTGTCCCAAACGTTTCTAATTGTACGATTTTTGGAGTTAACGATTCAATATCATCTGCTGAAGTGCTTAGTGATCTACGTCCCAATGAAGATTCTCGCGTACTACTAAAGTCATAATATAATGATACTATTGGATTATCTGCAGATTCGTTGTTGCTACTTAAATTTTGCAGATCTATGCCATCAGTATTATCAATTTTACTTTCAATGCTTTTGTTCGATATTGGCGGTGCCTCGATAGAATAATAGCTTATATTATTTTGTGCATTAGTTCCAACAAGTGTAGACGGTGAGACATTCTTATATATAACTTGTGAAACAAATTTAACAGAATCTGCATTAGCGTTTTCATCATTTGCAGTTACAGTCGTATCGGGTATATTAATACCATTACTGCTTGAGGTGCTAGAAATAGTTTGTGACCCAACAGTTTTTTCTATAACCAACGTTGCTTCTTGTGCAACGGCATCATTGATCGTTGATAAGTGATGTGCAGTTGACAGTTTATTTTGTGGTGAGTTCTTTGTGACAATTTGCTGGTGTTGTGCATCACTATCGATTGAATTATTTTCAAAGTCCTGTGGTAATGGAATAGAGTCTGCAACTTTTTCAGATGTTGTCTCACTAACATTCAATTTTTCTTTAACCTCTAATATATTATCTGAATTAATAATTGCAGGTGAGAGGTTGTTTTTTGTATTGCTGTTGAACTCCAGCAAATTAAGTGGATCAGCAACTTTCAACACCGGCTCCTGTGTTGTTGCAGCTGCTCTAAGTACAGCTTGTGGTAGCGGCCATTTTGATTTATTTTTACTATTTATTGTCTTATTGCTTCTTAATATTGGCGACGAAGTTGTTATCTTTGCAGCTTCTTTTAGTATCTGTAATGGTTGTAAATTAAGTAGTGGTTTCTCCATAACAACAGCCAACTCATCATTTCGTCCATGTGCTGTTGAATATATTTCACCACTGTCATTATGTAAAAGATCCTGACGTAAAGGTTTGGTGTCGTTATTCTCATTGGGAGGCCGAGTTGTTGTTGATAAGCCAAACAAAAAGTTTGTCCAATGTGGATAGGTTTTATTCGATTTCAACAGGTTATGCAAATGTATCCAATTTTGATCTTGATCATTTAATAACGTGAGGTTATGTCCGTAAGAATACTCATTATCAAATACTTGAATTCGTTCTAGTTGTTTCTTATTGTGATGTTGTTTATTATGTTCCATGAAGTATAAAGTGGATACTGCAGCAAGACTGAAAAATAATAAAAATGCATTATCAGTTTTCAGCTATATATTATAGTATTATTATTATTATTATTATTTTTATTTTAAGATAGTTCCAAATATACGATTATCATATTAGACTTTTATATGTCTGTAATGCATACTATCGAGTGACAGAACTTTAAGTTAGGTTAACTAATTATATTTGAAACTCAATAAAAAAAAGGATTAAACTTACCACGCAGCCATCACAATAACAAGGAAAAATATTATGATCTGGAGAACTCTATTAGAACATATTTCATAAGAGTCGGATAAATGTTTCTTCCCTGCCTTGTGTATTGGTACTGTATTTCTATCAATTTCCTTAGCGCGTATCAGTCTATTATTCATGCGCTCTAAATATTCAATACGCGTTTCTAAGGAACCTGTTACTTTACATAGCTCTTTAACAGCTCCAATATTTTCCATTAAAATACGGTCCTATATAAAAATCATAAAAATATTTTTATTTCTTTTAAATTTATATACTTTAAAATGTACCTTATTTACTAACAAAAAGTTTTCAATGACATTGCCATTAGGAAGCACAATGCTACCTGCCTCTTGTACTGCATCTGGTATTACCTCACGTACTTCCTGAGCAATCACTCCAGTATCAACAATTTCTTCAGTGTCACTTTCACTGGCACGCTTAAGACCAGAATGTATCGCAAACTCAGGCTCATAACGATATCGTACAATACGTATTTTTTGTAAATTCCTTAGTTGCACTGAAGTGTCCAGTTCACCGATTTCCTGTTTTGCACGACTATCACTAGGTTGAACTATATGGCCGGAAACTTTAAGATTACCATGCACAACGAGACTTTCATCTGGACGATCCGTATTAATGCCCACACGACCGGCATGAAAAATAGAATCTTGTGTTAATCCGCGTTGCCAACATAGATCAACATCAGATTCAAATTGGCCAGGATTTGATGCACGTACAATAATGCGTTCACTACCTTGACTAATGACAGGAAAGTTTCCAGATGCTGTATGTACATGCAGGCCAACAATTAGTTGAAAGTAACGTTGTTCAGGATTAGGACGGCCTTTTTTACGCATATTATTGTTAGTAGTTTCTGAGAAATGTAAACGGCCTACTGTAATTTTACTAACAATATGACTTTGGAGATCGAT